AGCCACAGGTGCTGAGCCCATCAAACATACTAAACAAAGATTTGAAACGACTTTCTTAAATACGCTCAAAGACTTAAGAGAACACATGGATGAAGATTAAAAAGGAAATCAGGGAAATGTTATATGAACAAAATATCAATATAAATTTCAATATCTGAAAAACAGAAATTATAAAAAAGAGCCAAACAAAAATTCTGGAGGTTAAAAAAAAAAATAGCTGAATTGAAAAATAAGGGCCAGGTGCAGTGGCTCATGCCTATAATCCAAAAAGCTGAGGCAGGAGGATGGCTTGAGCCAAGAAGTTTGAGGTGGTTGTGAGCTATGATGACGCCATGACACTCCACCCAGGGCACAAAGTGAGACTCTGTCTACAAAAGAAGGAAAGAAAGATGCACTAGAGGAGTCTAGTAGCAGGCAGAAGAACGAAACCGGAAACTTGAAGAGAGCACTATTGAAACTTTTTAAGATCAGAAAGATGACTGAAGAGAAATGAATAGAAAAAAAGAAGAAAAATGAATTAGAGTCTAAGATACTCGTGAGTTACTGTTAAGAACTGAATGTTTGTGTATTACTAAAATTCTTGTGTTGAAGCCCTAACCACTGGTGTGGCTATATTTGAAGTAATTAAGGTTAAATGAAGTTATAAAGGTGGGTCCCTGGTCTGGGAGGATTGGCTCAGATCGATCAGAGTTCAAAATTGGTTGTTTTACCTGGAATATTTGTAGTTTCCTTAGACAAAGTCCCTGCCTTTATGATCTTACACAGTAATAGAAGGAGAAAAATAGCAAACTCTAAAGTAAATAGATAAAATAATTTCTGAGTCTGAGAAGTGCTAGCAGAGTAATGGAGTGAAGAGCGATGGACATAGTGACTTTCTTCATTCTTTCATTCCTGTTTTTTTTAGACTCTCACTCTGTCACCCTGGGCAGAGTGCCATGGTGTCATAGATCACAGCAACCTCCAACTCCAGGATGCAAGCAATCCTCTTGCCTTAACCTCCCAAGTAGGCTGGACTACAGGTATGTGCCACTACACCTGGGTAATTTTTCTATTTATTTGTTTATTTCTGAGACAGAGTCTCACTTTGTCGCCCTTGGTAGAGTGTTGTGGTGTCACAGCTCACAGCAACCTCTAGCTCTTGGGCTTAAATGATTCTCTTGCCTCAGCTGGGACTACAGGTGCCCACCACAGTGCCTGGCTATTTTTTGTTGCAGTTGCCACTGCTGTTTTAGCTGGTTGGGGCAGGGTTCGAACCTGCCATACTTGGTACTGTATATGGGGCTGGTGCCCTACCCACTGAGCCACAGGCACCACCCAATTTTTCTATTTTTAGAAATGACAGGGTCTCACTCTTGCCAGGCTGGTCTTAAACTCCTAAGCTCAAGTGATCCTCCTGCCTTGGCTTCCCGGAGTGCTTAAAATACACCTCTGACTTAGGATCCTTTTAGTTTACAACGCGTTTATTAGGATGTGACCCTATTGTGAGTTGAGGAGCATCTGTGTATGCAGAGGATGCAGCATGTGCCAGTCTCAGGCACTGTGAATACTCATTAATTTCAAGTGTGATTTCCAATCTCCTAGGCATTATGATAGACTTAAGAATTTAACTTGGGGCTCAGCACGTGTGGCTCAAGTGGCTAAGGCACCAGCC